TTTACGAAGCTTTGCCACAAGCCTCTCAAACTTCTCAGATGGCAGACTGTCTAAACTTGCCTTAGCAGTTGCCTGTAAGACTGACATAAGATGCATGTCCTAAAAGTTCAGGCACAAATAATATTCTTTTATTACATTACAGTCTTGTGCTGTGACTCATTGATGCTTTGTCTACACCGCTCCAGCATGTTGGCTTTTATTGGGTTTTAAGATGGTGTAAGACTTGGATGGAACTCTAGCGCACTTGTGGAAGGAATTTTATTGTGTGTTCTTGTCTTTCTTCTATATTTACCTTCCATTAGCTACATTTTTTTCTGTGTTCAATGAATAATCTGCAAGTATTGTTAAATTAAACTCAATATGACTAGACTTTATTTTTTCCCAGCATAGTCAGTTTGGGTCCTTACTGGCAAAATGTTAGCTTGTTTCCAAAACAGTCTTTACAAAATCATCTCTCCTTCTGTTCACGTTTATTGATAGAGGAAAAGGATTTACTCTTTTAAAGTATATCACAGGACTTAAAATAAGAAACATCCTTTTTTATTAACAAATGAGCTGCCTAGAATCTTTTCTTCTGTTCATTTTTTTTTAGTATGTATCCAATCTGACAGTTACCTATATAACTATAACTGCTGGTGTCTCACAGAGATCAAAAACTAGCTATCTTTACATTTCCAAGCAATTCATGTAATCATTGATTTCTGTAAATATTTATCCTGCAAATTTCTAAAGTATTTTATTCCCCATTCACTTATATTATGTTGCATTGATATTTTCTAGAGGAGCTTGCTACAGTCTAAAATGTTTGTAGTTATTTTTACCTGAAACTGATGGATGCTAACACATAGACCACTATCATTTGCAATGCCTAGTTCAAATCTAATTACTTCTGCCTAACCATGAAGAGCACTGGCGTATTTCAACCAGCACAATTAAACTGCCTAGTACTCACTGCTTATATAGCCTACATACTTATATATTAAAAACCCATAAAGTGAAATGCCTTTGTTTTTAGTAAAAGAAAGAAAGAAATCCCTAAGCACTTTCCTGGTGGTGAAATGCTTAGTAATGCGCTGCTCTATTTCCCTCACTCCTCGTAAGTTCTGTAGTAATAAGCAGAAGCTCTTCAGAATGTACACCTCACGGAAGCAGAGGTACCCAGCATCCCGGCTATTGACATGAGATTTGAGAATGTCAACTAACCTCAGGTGCATGACCAGGTTACACGCCACCCCACCTGAGCCCTGTTCTCAGACTCACTCTCCCTAGGGACTTCTCGAATGAGGTTTCCAGCCCGCTTGGAATTTTCCTTGTTGCCTGTTGCCTGCTTTTGTTAATCCCCACTGGGACAACTAGGCAAGGTCCTGGCTAGGACCGGCAGCCAGCCCGTTGGCGCCCCCTTGTGGCTGAACAACTGCTAAGCTGCTGCACGCATTGGATTGTTAAGGCTCGGTTTGCCATTATTGTGCCTGAGGCGAAAATCTGTAGAATGTTTATCCTATAAAGAGCTAAACCTCGATTAAGTATAACAATAACTACAGCGTTCTAAGTGCTGGAGGATTACCATGGGGTTATGGTGCCACACAGTTTCCTGGCAGGGAGCATCCAGTAGTCAACTGCATGCTGAACCATTTGAGTGACTGGTACATGTGGTTCTGAAGATGGATTCAACCCTCAAGTACGGAGCAGTTGGGCAGACTCCCCTGAGCTGGGAATGCAGGACTGCATCCTAAAATGCACCAATCAATGACCACAGCGACCTTCTGCCTACTTTCTCCAAAGAGAGACCTCCTTATTGGCCTCCAGGGGATCATTCGTGGTGTTCTTCCTAAAATTGCTGTTACATAAATCTTCCTCAAAAGTCCTGCTTATAAATGTCACCAGAAAAAGGCAAGAAAATAATGGAAATTTGAATGTACCAGTGAAGAATCTGTATTTTTAATCGATGTGTGTTTTCAGTAACAGCTACCTAATCAGTTCATTACTTATCTAATCTAGATGCTCTGTTGATTTCCAAAGGGGAGCTGAAGTAGAACAACTAATAAAAGTGAGCTTTTCCATGACAGGACACACAAACACATATTTGCCTTAGGGTAAAAAATTTTGGCTAGTTAAAAAGTTCTGGGTTAGGATATTATTCTGAATTTTCATAACATTATGTGAAAAGAGAAAGTGAAAACATCACATTTTCTCTAATTTGGTGTGTAATTTATTGAGTTCATTTTAAAATAGTTTTTGGAAATTCTAAAAATCTGAGGTATTAGCAAATACTTGTATACTTCAGAAGGACAAAAAGGAAGTGACATCTAGAATTAATTTATCAATTTTAAGTGCTTTAAATGGTATTGTGATTTAGAGAATTTTATTCCTACTTTCCATTAATTCATAGAAGTAATGTCAAAATATTTCATAGGGACAATTTTAAAACAGATTTGTAGAAGCAATTCTTAAATATTTTATCATAAATAAACCACGTTTAATGTTGATACTTTCAATTTAGATATTTTATACTCTTTTAGTCATCGAAATTTTTGGGGAGGTAGTACCAAGGTTTGAACTCAGAGACTCATGCTTGTTAGACAGGAGCTCTACCACCAGAGCCACACCCCCAGCCCTTTTTGCAGTTAGGGTCTTGCATTTTTGCTTGGACTGGGCTGGATCACAATTCTGTGTATGCCTCCCAGGTAACTGGGATGACAGGTGTACACTGCCACCACCCAACTTACTTGTTGAGATAGAGTCTTGGTAATTTTTTGCCTGGGCTGGCCTTGAGCCATGATTCTGCAATCACTGCCTCTGGAATAACTGAGATTAACAGGTGTGAACTACTGCCCCTAGCCAAAAACAGATCTTTTTTTTTTAAAGGAATAAAAGAAAGGCCATATTAAATTGTTTTATGATTTTTTTAACAGTTGCCTGTTCATTTTATTGGCTTAGGAAGGAAACATATCTTGAAAATTTGGGAGAGTAATTTGATATTTACTGTAGTCAGCCTTCTACAGCATCTGTTAGTTTGAGAACAGGTACTGTTACCAAAGACCAGATGTAGTGAGGACTACTTGTGCAGTTATTAACCTAAATCAAGGTGCAGGAGTGAGCCTATGTGTCCTGAACCAGATGATCATAAATTAAATTATGGCTTAAATGTATTGAAATTAGAAAGAGATTGAAATTTTTACAATTAAAAAAAGATTATGAAAAGTAGACATTTTGGGCTCTATCCCTTTGACGGATTTGTTTAAATAATTGAAGGCTTTTGGATGACATGGAGAACTTAGCTGAGAATAAAAAGATGCAGTTTTATGATGTTATTGTCGCTCTTCTTTAATGTAATCTATCATTTTATGACACATTTGTCAAGTCTAGAGAAGCCCTTGGGCTTATGGGCCTGTTGTCAAGAATTCTTGAACTCATCACAAAACTGCCCAGCCTGCTCTTTGCATGTGCCTTCAGCTGGTCGCACTGGGCTTTGCTGTGTCTGCTTTTAGAAAGGGTGGTGTCAGCTGCATGGTCAACTCCTCTGTTGTAACCAGAACTCTCTGACCACCACAGTTCATGATTTGATTTGTTTTCATGTAAACACACATAAAACATGGTGCCTTTTTAGAATATCATTTGTGAAACAACTAGGCATGGAAAAATAAATGTTATTGTTTCTTGTTAGCTATGAAACACATGTCCACTAAAAACATTTGCTGTTGGCATGCTGCAGCTGTGGACAGTGGACCTTGCAGTAAGTGGAAAAGACAAGACCTCCACTTCGTCTCAGACAATCCTTACCCCTGAGAATGCTCCTTCATCCTCCATGAAGGCTGCAGCATGACTCCAAGTAGCGCTCCAAGCAACCTCCCCTCACATCCATTGCCCCATTATATTTTTCTAGGCTCTTCTGAGTCCTGGGCCTCACACATTGATAATAGTGTGTGGCCTTCTAATGCATAGCACAAGCACTTTGTAAAAGAACAAGAAAACAAACAAAATGGGTATACAAATCTTCCTATAGTTCATTTGATTCCTACAAAAATTCCTTAGCTTGCTGGCACTTGTATCCTAATATTAGAGATAAGGATTTCAAAACCCAAGTTTCTTTGACTCCACCCTGCCTCCTCCCCGCCTTCCCCCAGCACATCACACCACATCCCTTGATTAGGCAAGTGTAAAGATGTATTTGGGGTTTTATTGTTGTTGTTAATGCTTCCTTGATCAGACCATAACAATTCAATCCTGGCCAGCATCAAAGAACTGAATGTTTAAATACATGTAACTTACCAGTAGCTGCCACAGCAAATCAATAACCTGTTTAATAGCAGGAAATTTTGTAAGTGAACACTACATTGCATTCCACTAATCAGTCATCACATTCATTATGTGTTGAGGCTGTTCTACCTTGCGTGGTTTCTGTCTCAGAAGAATGCATATAAGCATAAAAGAACCGTAATGTTAAGTGTTGTATGTTTAATATATATGCAGTGCTACCAACTGCTATGAAATTGCATGAATTTATGCATATCATAATCTTGCCTGGAAGATAAAATGCATGTTGAATGTGGGGACATGTGTAACTGTCATCCCTGTTTTCCTATAGAGATGTTAAGAAATTACAAAGAGATATGCTCCCAAACAAGATTACTTTGTTTTTCAAATCTTAAAAGTTAGGGAAAAAGCTAAAATCACCCAATAGTTTTTAAAGTGAATTCCAAACCAATCCTTGGTTATCGCCAGTGCAATCTGGTACAAACTGCTGTACCTGGTCTCAGATCTTACTGTGATGCATCCAAGAAGTGTGTGTATGCCTATAAAATGAGCCGAATTACAAGTGAACACAAACAGAGATTAAGTAAAGCTCAACTTTTCAATAATGGAGAAATACATTATGTCCCTACTTGCTCCACCGTTTTGCCTGTGAAATATATAACCACGCACAGTTTCTCAGAAGACTGACCCGAGTGCAACGGAAGCAATTTCTTGAAATGGAAAAACCGTGCCTCTGTTCTCCACAGTCAGAAGCTAAGTTTTAAGGAGCGTGTGCGCATGGCTAGCCCGAGGGGCCAGAGTATTAAGAGCAGACAAGCTTCAGTAGGTGACAGGAGGTCCCTGAGCACCGACATCACAGCCGAGGGCAGTCCCACCAAAGTGCAGAAGAGCTGGAGTTTCAATGACCGAACCCGCTTCCGGCCATCACTGCGCCTCAAAAATTCTCAGCCAAAACCAGTGATAGATGGTAAGCCCGGTTTTTCCATAGCCGTTTTTAATTTCATTGGCTGTAGTCAGTGAGATTACGAAATGATTAATTCTCCATGGTACCTCTTGAAGATAGAAGGAAACAATCCAGGGAAAGAAATTGTTTATTTTATTGGAAATTTATTCATTGTTTTGGGCAAATGTACAGAACATACGTTAATTTAAGGGAGGAATTTTGGCAACTAAACCTACATTTCAAAGAAGCCAAGGGGCTGGGGTCTTAGCGTGGCAGTGGAGCTAAGCACAGGAGGTCCTGGATTCCATTCTCACCGCCACCAAAAGAAAAAATAAATATCAAAGAAGCCAAATACAATTTTGTTGATTCCTCACTTATATGTCCAATACATCCACATTGGTGTGACTATCTTTCTGGTATGTATGTTATATCTTATCAGCAAAGGGACAAAAGCCAAGGGCAGCTAAGTGCTCCAAGCATCCTGATCACAGTAAGAGGTGACAGCCCCTTTCCCACAAGCTTCATCTAAAACTAAGCCAGAGCTTACTGCTTATCTTCCTCAGAGGCGCTCCTGGTGAACGTTCTTTTGAAGTCTTCCAGTGATGAGTGACGTTCAAGTTCTCCCAAGAGGATCCTATCTTATTTATCATATTATGTAGAAGTTTACTGGCCAACACGCTTTATCATGTGCCACATAGCTTTCATGTTTATAAAATAAAACATTTTATTTTTTCATTAAAGATTAGCTTGGTTTTAAGTATGCCTGAGATGTCTTAGACTGGGCAAAGAACCAAAATCAAATAGCCTCTTCCATTAATGCACAAAACAGCAAAGGCTATCAGTCATTATGCTCTCATTCTCTAGAATAACCTGTATTTTCCCAGGCCCCAAAAGCTCAAGGGATAAAACTAACAAGCAGGGGTCATAATCACAGTGAACTCAGGCTCCTTGCAGTGAAATCCCCAGAACCTCAGCCCACAGCCCCTCCCAGCTTCCTCACAGGCCCCTGGGGAGAGGGCTTCCACTCTCAAGTGAACAATGTGAGTCCCCTCTCCACACTTCTCCATTCTCCACAACCCCATGGGTGCCCTGCTCTCCAAATAGACTCCTAGTCTCTGACCCAGTCTGGCCTCTCCTGGGGGAACTGGCAGCTCCCATCTCCATGGCAGGACATGCTGATCCTGCCACACTTAGCCCCACCTGTTGCTCTGCTAAGGTGGAAATGCCTTTCCATCAATGCTGGTCACTCCTCCACCAAGCCACTTAAGTGTCCTGAGTCATCAGCACAGATTTTCAGTGCCCTCAAGTTTCCACACTTTCTTTCCTAGGAATTTGGCTGAAAGTCCTTGAGCAGCTGAGTCTGCAGTAATTGGTAACAGGGCTTTATGTTATACTTGAGATAGACTTGCTGAATATAAATGGCTATATCCTTTCTGGAAGGTAATTTGGCAAAAATATATTAAAGCCTTTGCATATGCCTAAGCCTAGACATATCCTACCCACCAGCTCCATTTCTACAATACAATCAATATAAAGAAATAGCATCAGACATTGACAATTATTCTATAAATGAAAAATTATTGACATGAAAAATGATCACAAGCCAGGCATAGTGGTACATGCCTGCAATCCCAGCATTTGTGAGACTGAGACAGGAGGAATGTGAGTTTGAGGCTAGCCTGGCCTACATAGAAGATCTTGTCTCAAAAAGATGTTCACAAAAAGTTGTCCCATTTTTGCTCAGATGTTTATATATTATGTACCATATGTTATGTATGTAGATTTGTGTGCTTATAGGGAAAGGTCTGGAAAGACAAAATGCATAAATCTCCAAGTGGTGAGACCAGTTATATTCTGTTTCTTCATTCTCTTCATCTGCATTTCCTAATATTTCTATGATGATTATAAAAAGCTTTTGTAATAAGAAAGCAAAGGAAAATGTTTTGTTACACATAAGCCCCTCCTTTCTTGCACTCTCCCTCTTCTTCCCCTCATCTGCTCTAGGGCCCTTGAACTCATTGATATTCCCCAAACTCCCCTCTTCAGGCTGACTTCCTCCCTACAGGTGGAAACAACACCTGCTCTTAGTGAGGGGACCTGCCTTCACTGAGTGTTGACTTACACTGTCTAATGAGGTTTAACAGCTTCTACAAACAGAGCTCTTGTGTGTTTCATGGGTTACCATCACCACATACCACAGACTGGGTGGTTGAAACAAGAAAAATTCATTTTCTCACACTTTGGAGCTTACAAGTCCCAGATCAAGGTGTTGGAGGGGTGGTTCCGTTTACAGCTCACTTCTCGATTTGTAGAAGGCCATCTTCTCTGTGTCTTCTCGTCATCTTTCCTCTCTACCTGTCTGCGTCCAAATTTCCTCTTCTTACAGGAACACTAATCATATTGGATTAGGGCCCAGCCTAATAATTCCATTTTAATTTAATTACTTCTTTAAATACCCCGTTTCCAATTACAGTCACAGTTAGCGGCACTGGAGGTTAGGATTACAACGGATGCATGGGGAAGTAGAAATTCAGCCATCACAGAGCTCCTGCTCACATCAGAGCATCTCTGGCAACTGAGGTGTGTCCATGTCTTGGACTCTGACCCTGCGTTCCTACTGTACCAAAAACCCATTCATCACCCATTACAATGGGCCATATTCTCCCAATGTAGGCTTCAAAAATCATTCAACTCCTTGCTATGAGGCTTAGGGTTGGCTGCGCATGTTTAACTATAAAATGTGTAGAACTTGGATTCCAAGCATAAAAGATGAATTCTAGTTTACTATTGGCCAGAGGGAAAAGAATTTCAGAGACTTGCTAGAACCAGCACTATCCATCATGGTATTTTCCGTATCTGCAAAAAAATCTCAGAACTCAGACATAAAAAGACTTCCTATCCTCAAACAAATCATAAATTGGAAAGCTCTCCCACTTTCTAGATCATTTGGTACATGTGCAGCTCTGTTTGGTTAGAAAGGAATTGCTTTTCCCTGGTTGATGCCCATCTCAGTGGATTCTGAGCTCCCCAGGGGAGGAGAGGCTGATTGCTGTCCTCCTGAAGTTGCTTCGTGGGTGCCCATGGCAGGAGACCATGGCTCCTGAGTCCTCATTCAGTACAGCAGTCCAAAGTCTTCATTTCTAATTTAACTTGATGTTGGGCCTTGGAAAATTGGAGGTTCTTTTTTTTACAAGGAAAAAAAACTGAAGTAGCTATCCAGTAAATACGGACCTCAATTATACATTTTTATTTTTAGTCCTTCTCCAGGATTTAAGTATGTCTAAAATCCACTTATCACTTGTAGAAAATAATATAGAACACTACAGTGTACTCCCAGTTGTTTCAGGTCTATTTCTTTACTCACTTCAGAGTGCTTTTCTGCTTGTTCTCTTTCCCTTGCATCTTTTGGGCATTTCATTGCCCATTATCATGCTCAAAGAAAGTAGATGAATAAAAGAAAGAATAATAGAAATTCAGCTCAGCCTGAAAGTTAAAAACTAAAATTTACATTTGGAAAGTAATAGGCCTATAGCTAAAATATATTTTCAGAAAACAAAATAAATTTAATCTGTAAATTTTAGTGCTTCCTACTAAATCTGATACATTTCACTATAGATGGTAGTATTTTAATTTAATGACTCATATAAAAGGTTATTAAATACCCATGTTGTTTTTCTTTTCTTTTCTTTTCTTTTTTTTTTTTTTTTTTTGCTGTACTGGGGTTTAAACTCAGGGCTGACAACTTGAGCCACTCCACCAGGCCTTTTTTGTGTTGGATATTTTCAAGATAGGATCTTATGAACTATTTCCCTGGGCTGGCTTTGAACCGTGATCTTCCTGATCTCTGGCTCCTGAGTAGCCAGGTTTACAGGTGTGAGCCTCCAGTGCCAGGCTGTTATCATTTTTTCTGAGATTAACATTTTACACTTAAAAGGGGCACAACTGCTTCCTAATATCTCATACTCTTGTGTGTCAGAGAAATGGAAAGTAGCAAACAGATGTTGGAGCCTGAAATGTACAAATGACAAAGGAAAGAGAATCATCTATCAGGACTAGTGTGGTATTGCCATAACAAATTTATTTTGCCCAATATAATATGAATGACATTGTTAATTTATAAATTCTATAATAACAGATTGAAATGCTTCATTAGTCAGTCAATAGTATTTAAGCCTCTTCATATAATTTTAGAAATTAGGAGCATAGATGGGATATTTTTTCATGAATGTATGAGAATAATAGGATCAGAAAGACAAAAGCCGCAAGTTTTTCCTCATAGGATGAAGATAGATTCAAAGATAAACATACACAGAAACAAGCATGATCACATACAAACTCAGATGTAGAACATGTTTGCAACAGTGGAACTACTCTATGGAACTTGGAGAAAGAGAGAAAGGAAAAGAGAATGATAGAGCATCAGTATATGACATAACATAAGATGTGAAGGTAGAGGATATAAGGATGTGTATTGAAAGCTTTGAAAAACAGGTGGGGGGGGAAGGTAAAAGGAAAGGGAGAGTGTTCAAAGGGATTGAACAGACCAAAGTAAAGCACACCCACAGAGAGCATGCATTGAGACACCCCTTTGAATGTCAACCTAAATATTAATAATGAAAACCTGGACTGTAAAATAGGTACGGGGAGAGGGGTAGACTAGTGGGAAGGGGGAGGGTGAAGGAAGGAGATTAATGTGATGGTATATGGTTGATAGACTTCATATACCTACATGAAACAATTGCTTTAAGTGGGGTGGGGAGAGGCCTAAGGGGGAGAGACAATGGGGGCAATGTAAATAATGTACAATATAAGTCTAATCAGAATATGTCACTACAAAGCCTCCCCCTATAATTATTACATCCTAACAAAAAATTTATTAAAAAGTAATAAATTAGCCCTTAAATATTTAAGAGTTCTTGTTAAATGCAAAAAAAAAAAAAGAAGAAGAAGAATGATAAAACTAACTTCTGTTGAATCCTTCTCTGTGTGTCAGGGGTCACTCTAAATGCTTTACCTCTGTGACT